GGTAAATAGAAACCCTATCCTATTTAGCTTCTTCTTAATCCCAAACTTTTGGTGGGTTTCGATTATCCACTTCATAGGGGATAAATGAGCCCAACACATTCTGCTCGATTTTTTCAAACCCAATGGCTGTCTAGTCTCCAATTCATTTGCCAAACCAAGGATAAATGGGCCCCACCATTTATTTATCCAATCTAACTCTACTTATCCTGGTTTATCCATCAACCCAAACACACCCTAAATGAATTAGTCCTTGACCAAAGATAAAACATCATTGTAATGCACTTGTGTTACATTCAGAAATAAAGAAACTATTTTTGGTTGAAGATGTACCTTGCCCCTGAACTCGAATTTTGGATAAGAATTCTACAGATACCTAGAGTTTAATGGTGGTGTTTTTGTTGGACCAAAGTAGTTATTTAAGTGTTAAAATTGAATTTTTTGTCATTTTTGAACACAAATTAAAGTAAGATGCGCTTGTTGTTTTGAGTAAAATTTTGTGGGTTTGTGTTCTACTCCATGAGTAGAATAACGTCATATATTCACGTGCTCAAATAAAGTAAGAAATGAATGAGATAAAATAGACTCCAAAGTGATCTATTTGAATTGTGAAAATAAAGGTTGTGCAATGTAGAATTTGACACCAATCCCATACTGGTTAAGGAAGAAATTCTAAATGGGCATATATATGCAAAGTTTTCTCTATGAATTGAGCTCCAATGGATACCACACTTTTATGAATAGAGCGAGTGCTTACATGCCTTCAGTTTGACCACACATGCAAGCACGTTGCCCGCCTGCCATGATCGGTGCTATGTGAGTGTGGTCAGTCCTTATCTTTTTGGAGAAGATTAGTTTAAAAAATTAGACGTGAATTTAATAACCCAAAATTTAATTTTTGGTATTTGTTGGATTTAAATTCTTACTGGTTAGAATTTTCGCATCCCTTCAGTCCAATTTTTTGAGTTGTGTCTGTTCAGATGAACAATGGTGTCTTCTAGCTGCATGTTTTTGCTGGGTTACAACCATTCGCATGATGACGATCCTTGTACTCTCAGATATGCAAATTAATAATGCGGAAANAAATTCGTACTGGTTAGAATTTTCGCATCCCTTCAGTCCAATTTTTTGAGTTGTGTCTGTTCAGATGAACAATGGTGTCTTCTGGCTGCATGTTTTTGCTGGGTTACATCCATTCGCATGATGACGATCCTTGTACTCTCAGATATGCAAATTAATAATGCGGAAAATTAAGAATGTAATGACTACCTTAATGATTAAATATGTAAGAACATAATTGTAATTTATTTGGGTTGTTTATAGATAGAATAGTGACTAATTTGGATAGTCATCCTGCGAATAGATGCACCCCAAAAGATACCATTGATGTCTACTTACTAAACAAACACGAATTAAAAAATTCAGTTTAGAGGAACCAATGTGAATTTTGAATTCCAACGAATGGAAATTAAAATTGGGTTGAGAAATTCGGATCCAATTCGTTAAATAATTTTTTTCTAAAAAGATAAGATTAGATCTAAACCACACTCGAGCCTGGCCGAGTCGTAGTGTGGCAGGCTAGTGGCATGCGCACGTGCATGTGGTTAAATTGAAGCCTATATAGATGCTCACTCCACTTATAAAAGGGTGGTATCCTTTGGGGCCCAACCCAAAGTACAATTTTGTCATATATATGTACATTTATTACATTCATTGATTACGAATCCATTTAACATCATAACTTTACTTTGGTGCTTGCTTTAAACCATAAAGTGACTTAACAAACCTGTACATTTTCTTCTATTGTTCTAGAGAAAGAAGCCTTTCAAGTTGCTCCATATAAATTTCTTAATTAAAGTTAGCATTTAGGAAAGTTGTTTTCACATCCATTTATTATATTTAAAGATTATGCAATGCTGCAATATCTATGAGCATGCGAATGGATATTATTCTCGTAACATGAGAATATGTATCAAAATAATCAAGGCTTTCATTTTGTCTATAACCTTTAGCTATAAGTCTATCCTTGTACTTATTGATTGATCAATCAATTTTTATTTCCCTTTTAAAAATCTATTTGCACCCCAATTGTATACTTCCCAGAGGAAGGCCTACCAACTCCTATGTGTCATTTTGTATGATGAATTCAATTTCACTATTTTCAGCTTCTTTCCAAAAATGTGTTTCAGGAGTGGGCATTGCTTCCTTGAAGCTTCAAGGTTCATTCTCTAACAAATATGTCAAAAAATCATAATCATATGACTTAGAAGTCCTTGCCATCTTACTACTGCTAAGTGCTTCTTCAATTTATTCATTTATAGATTCATGGTCTATATTACTAGTCACAATATCTTGTTCTTCTTGTTATTATTAAAAGGACATACAATTGTCATTACGTTTATCTTAAAGAGCCAATCACTCAAATATTCCTTACCTATATAAATTCTACTCTTGGTGAATACAAATTTTTTAAACTCAAAAATCAACTTAAACCCTTCTTAGTCAATAATGGTACAGGCACAAGATTTTTTTGAATTTTTGAAACATATAACACATTATTAAGAATAAGTTCTTTCTCAGAAGTCATCTTCAATATAATTCTTTTTTTGCCTTCAACTTTGGAAGTGGAGGAATTCCCAATGAAAAATTGTTCTCCATGATTAATAATTTCATTTGAAGAGAACATCTTCTTATCTAAGCATATATGTCTAGTGCCTCCAGTGTTAACCACCATTCCTTGGTATTTCCCACCAAGTTTAATTTGGATATTATGGTAAAAAAACACATGTTAGAAATATATTCAGAAAGGTTTTCTACCTCGCTTATCTTGGCTTGGACAGCTTTCTTCTTGTGGGTTTTTTTGTACTTTATAGCTTCGGCAATCTTTAACAGGATGCCCTGGTTTATTGCACACAAAACAGTTGCATTTGAATCTTTTGAAATCACTACACTTGACCCCTCGTCGGGTAACATGCTTCATTTTCTTGTTAGTTTTATGTCTCTCGTCAATCTCATGCACCTTTGACTTCGTGGAATGATTACTAACTTTCTTTTCAAAAACTCTATTGTCCTCTTTAATCTTCAATCGCACAATCAAGTCTTCAAATTTCATTTCTTTGCATTTTAGCTTTCAACAGCTTTTGAAGCCTTTCAATGTGGCTATAATTATTCAATAATTGCATGCACTTGTAAAGATTCACTAAGCACCATCCATTCCGCATGAATTAGAGGAAGATTTTGAACTTAACTTATGTTACACTTGGAATTTACCATTTATAATTAAGGAATCTCCCCACAATGAATTTTTCATTCTGGCATCCTCCATATACATTTTTTAGACATGGATTCCTACAGCTCTCTAGTCGTCTTGTAATTTTGATCCGAGGAATCTTTGTTTGTACGATCCAAACAAGAGTGAAAGAGGAGAACTTGTTGTGTCGCGCAAACACACCTTAGAATTCTAGGATTATATTTGAAATCACTTACACATTCGCAATAAGGGAACACATTTTAAACTCCAAGCTGAATTGGTTCAACACTTGTGGCATTGACATGGGGATAGTAGTAACATATAATTGGGTTTAAAATTATGTTTTGGAATTGTTCTTTTAAATGTCGTTTAAATTTGTATTAGTTAAGTTTAATGAGAATTGTAGTTGCAATAAATATATACTACTTTTCATATAAGCTTATATTAATTTAGTTTTGACATCTCAATTAGAGATTTGCTCTTATGCTTTAGTTCTACCAATTTTTGAACGGATCAAATTGAATTCTTTTGCTTTGCACTGACACATACCATGATGGTCGCGATTAGAATAATCTTATTTGGCATCCATTTATCCATGCAATATCCCTTGGGCCTCAACATCAATGCAATAAAAGACAATCTTTAGTTCATTCACACATTCTTGCCAACTCTTTTTTTTTTTTTAATTAGCATTTCCTATGATATTATTTTCTCTATTATGCTTGAAGGATCACGATATAAGACATAAATTAAGAAAATAATTCATAATAAACAAATTTATTTGAAGGTGTAAAATAAAACATATCTTCAACAGTCTTGTCTAAGCTTCTAAAGGTATTGGTTGGGTCATTGAGTCAGATTGATAAGAGTCAAAAAAAAAATATTTTTTTATTGGTTATAGATTTGATTTGAAAATATATATATATATATATTTTCGTAATAGGGGCTATGTGAGATCACACATAAGAAGAATTTTAGCATTTTCATCGAAAATTGAGTATAACAAATCTAGTGGGTTATATAACTCTGACCCGATTTGGTCAAATTTATGAGGGTCAAAAAATTAAAAAAAAAAAATTCTGTTTGTCAAATATTTGGTTTAAAAACAAATTAATGTCATTGAAACTTTTTATTTAGTAAAAGACTAAATTTGGTGGGACTTGATATTTAATTTTTAGTTTCTTTGATAATTTACCGTTAGATCATGANATTATGTTTGTCAAATATTTGGTTTAAAAACAAATTAATGTCATTGAAACTTTTTATTTAGTAAAAGACTAAATTTGGTGGGACTTGATATTTAATTTTTAGTTTCTTTGATAATTTACCGTTAGATCATGATCTAACAACTACACGAAAACTATCCACCTGAGGTTTTGGAAACTTTTAAGTTAATTGAATATTTGGACTGAAATAATTAGTTAAAATATCCAATAGCATTTTCCNGAAAACTATCCACCTGAGGTTTTGGAAACTTAAAAGTTAATTGAATATTTGGACTGAAATAATTAGTTAAAATATCCAATAGCATTTTCCATATAAAATAGTTAAGCTGCAAAAAGAAACTCCCTTAACCTAGAATTAACAATTGCGGCCGTATCCCATGCATTCTTTTCTAGCAAGGACATCTTTTACAAACTAAAAGAATTCGATTTTCAACCTCCTCTTGTGTTCGGCAGTTCTAAGAGAAGGTCAGTCTTCGGCAGCGGCCTGGTCTAAAGGGTATCCCTTCGGTGGTCCCTGTGCTTGTCAAATGGCGGATTTGTGTGGAAGAAGAAGAAGAAGAAAGTATAGACAGATAAGCGGTGAGAGAGTGGCATATCTGCCACAACTACCAACGGAAGTCATGTCCGATCTCCTGTCTAGACTTCCTATGGTGTCAATCTTGAGATGCAAAACCGTGTGCAAGGTTTGGTTTGGCTTAATAAGAGATCCTTATTTTGCTAACTTACAGCTGAGTAGATCAAACAATCAACCTCCCCAAGTCATCATTGACCCCGATGACGTTGAGACAAAACAAGGTGTAATAAAAAGTCTATACTTGCTGGATCCTGAAGAATGCAAGGCGAGAGCGATCCCTGAAATTCTTCTTGAGGACGCATTTGCAAAGAGATCACTTGGTCTTAAGGTCATGTGTTCTTTCAACGGCTTACTTTGCTTGGCTCCAGAGAAGGATCTACATCCTGTTGTGATCTATAATCCAATAACCAAAGAATACAGAGTTTTGCCTAAAACCAAGGCCACTACTAATACGATAGTAGAGTTTCATCAAATCGGTTTGGGCTTTGATCCTTCAACCAACAAGTACAAGGTAGTTAGAATATATAACGGCAGAGACGAAGGTGGGTGCAGGTTGGCTTCCGCCTGTGAAGTTATTACATCCGGAGAAATTTCATGGAGAAAAATAGTTGTCCTAGCTGACACTGATAGAGTACTCTTCAGCGGTAGTCAAGGGCCCGTTGTTCACAATGGTTCAATTTATTGGACCATTGTCAGGACATGTCACCCCTTCGACGGAGAATTGATTCTTCGTTTTGACATAAGGAAGGAAGTGTTTCAGGCCATCTGTTTTTATCCATATATAAAGGCTCCTCCTGATCAATGTAGGTATCGTGCTCGTAATTTGCAGTTACAGATTTTGGGACGGGGTTTGTTCTTACTTGATCATGATGGTGAGTTTTTGCATTCATGGAGTTTGACACTGCTTGATAGCGTGGATGGCACCATGTTTCGGTATAATAACTCAGTGAAGATGAAGTTCCCAAAGCGTGGATGGCATTGGTATTTTCAGTCCTTTGTTTGTATGCCAAGTCCAGGGAAATTCTTGCTTGAGAGAGTTGAGTCAGAAAAGGCCGGAAGTCATCATCAAGATCTCAAGCTTGTATATTATTCTTCTGAGCATGGTAAATTCTTGAAATTAAAGGTTTCGGGGCTCCCGGTGTGGTATAGATCTAGGTGTTTTAAACCCAGTCTCCTTCCTGTTGAAGGGGTTTTTCCCACTCACTTGTGATGGGCCTGGTGAACTGGAATATTCATAGTTTATTATGCATTTAAGATCTGAAACATAAAGCAATGAATTTGATTCTTTTCCCAGTTTTATTACCACTTANTCATTGGAATGAAATCAACTTTAACCAAAATATTCATAGTGACTAAAAATAATTAAATACAATTTTTTTATGATTGCGATTGCCTTTAAAAGGTGTATAAAAAAATTTATAATTAAAAAAAATGAGAATCCATTGAAAAAAATTAAACTCCTATAAATTTTAAAAAATTAAAAAACAAATTCCTTCAAAAATAGATTCACAAAAAAAATCAAAATAAAAAACTATTCAAAATTGGTCATTCATTTCAAATGAACAACTATAGNATTTTTCTAAGACTTATAAAGAGATCATTTGTGACGTTGAGTTAATGTATCTGGTTCTACTTTGTCAAAGCAGTTAGGTTTGAATGATCTTGACTAATTGAGAAGCTATATGAAATGGAAAGTGACCGATCAGACCTGCTCTTTGCTTGACTAAAGAGTTGGCATTCACGGCCTCATTACTGTTACTGTTATTGAGAGGATCAATGGCGAATGGCTTTCTTTGCCTCTCTCTTTGTTTACTAGGTACTTTGTTGGCCTAGCCTATTGCTTCGAGAGTCATTTGTCGCACATGATTGGTGGGTGTGTCACACACATAAGCTTAATAGGAAACTTACACCTGGTTATTGGGTTTGAGTTTTTAGTGTTTGAATTTGTGGTGGGTTAGGACTTAAGAGTCAGAAGAGTTTTAAAGTTTTTAGAATTATAAAAGTGTTATGAGATTAGATCTATAATTCAAACTCGTATAATAAATCAGACAAGTTACAAATCAGACGAATTACAAAGATATATCGGTTCAAATCACTAGTTTGACCCATCCACCAAGATTTGAAAAAGGTCAAAAAAAAAATCTTAATTTTAAATGATTTATTGAAAACTTTTAGAACTTTCAGTATACTTTCCATATAAGATTAGAATTACAATTAATATGGCATTTAAATTTCCTATTTAGTCAATACACAAATTTGGTAAGTTTTATCATTTAATTCTAACACCGTGTTTGATACGCCGTAATGCTTTTCAATAGGAATGAAATGAGTTTGAAAATTGAATGAACTTGAGAATGGAATAGAATGCACATTACCATTCCAATGTTTGGCAGCAGTTCAAAATTAAGTACTGAAATGAAATGTTCATTTCATTTTTATGTTTGGATAAAACAATTTTTTCATTGGAATGAAATCAACTTTAACCAAAATATTCATAGTGACTAAAAATAATTAAATACAATTTTTTTATGATTGCGATTGCCTTTAAAAGGTGTATAAAAAAATTTATAATTAAAAAAAATGAGAATCCATTGAAAAAAATTAAACTCCTATAAATTTTAAAAAATTAAAAAACAAATTCCTTCAAAAATAGATTCACAAAAAAAATCAAAATAAAAAACTATTCAAAATTGGTCATTCATTTCAAATGAACAACTATAGTTCACTATGAATTCAATAGAGCACATGTGTCAACCCAAAAAGAAAACTATCAAGACAATTAGGAATTGCATTCAAACATGTGGGTTGAACCAAAAAATAAATCAATGAAAACCAAGTCCAAAAAATAATCAACATTATACAGAAAATAAAAACAAGTTGAATAAAAACAAAAATTCTTAAATTCCATTCATTTCATCTCGATAGCATTGGAGGTAGAATTTTAAGAAACAAAATCATTCTTAAATATAAGTATAAAAAATTACACTCTTTGTCTACGTGTTCTCCACTCATCGAACATTTGTTTGTCAAATTCAATCTAAATATTGACCACTCATTGGATATTTCAATAATGGTAACACAATCATCATGTGCATCATTTTCCACGACAAGACCGGCTGCACCATGATTTTTCTCTCATATAGTAAAGGATGACAGTAGACATCATACGAAAAAAAAAATAATTGACTAAATACATGATTTTGGTCCACAATACAAATAATGTAGTCAATTTCTTCTTCTTTATCATTTTCCTTCTTGCTAGACTTAAACAAGTTATAACTTTCACAAAAATAACAAAGAAAAAATCAATATTTGGGATATCACAAACAAAGCCAAAAAATTACAATTTCCAAATTGTAGGTGCAAANTTACACCTGGTTATTGGGTTTGAGTTTTTAGTGTTTGAATTTGTGGTGGGTTAGGACTTAAGAGTCAGAAGAGTTTTAAAGTTTTTAGAATTATAAAAGTGTTATGAGATTAGATCTATAATTCAAACTCGTATAATAAATCAGACAAGTTACAAATCAGACGAATTACAAAGATATATCGGTTCAAATCACTAGTTTGACCCATCCACCAAGATTTGAAAAAGGTCAAAAAAAAAATCTTAATTTTAAATGATTTATTGAAAACTTTTAGAACTTTCAGTATACTTTCCATATAAGATTAGAATTACAATTAATATGGCATTTAAATTTCCTATTTAGTCAATACACAAATTTGGTAAGTTTTATCATTTAATTCTAACACCGTGTTTGATACGCCGTAATGCTTTTCAATAGGAATGAAATGAGTTTGAAAATTGAATGAACTTGAGAATGGAATAGAATGCACATTACCATTCCAATGTTTGGCAGCAGTTCAAAATTAAGTACTGAAATGAAATGTTCATTTCATTTTTATGTTTGGATAAAACAATTTTTTCATTGGAATGAAATCAACTTTAACCAAAATATTCATAGTGACTAAAAATAATTAAATACAATTTTTTTATGATTGCGATTGCCTTTAAAAGGTGTATAAAAAAATTTATAATTAAAAAAAATGAGAATCCATTGAAAAAAATTAAACTCCTATAAATTTTAAAAAATTAAAAAACAAATTCCTTCAAAAATAGATTCACAAAAAAAATCAAAATAAAAAACTATTCAAAATTGGTCATTCATTTCAAATGAACAACTATAGTTCACTATGAATTCAATAGAGCACATGTGTCAACCCAAAAAGAAAACTATCAAGACAATTAGGAATTGCATTCAAACATGTGGGTTGAACCAAAAAATAAATCAATGAAAACCAAGTCCAAAAAATAATCAACATTATACAGAAAATAAAAACAAGTTGAATAAAAACAAAAATTCTTAAATTCCATTCATTTCATCTCGATAGCATTGGAGGTAGAATTTTAAGAAACAAAATCATTCTTAAATATAAGTATAAAAAATTACACTCTTTGTCTACGTGTTCTCCACTCATCGAACATTTGTTTGTCAAATTCAATCTAAATATTGACCACTCATTGGATATTTCAATAATGGTAACACAATCATCATGTGCATCATTTTCCACGACAAGACCGGCTGCACCATGATTTTTCTCTCATATAGTAAAGGATGACAGTAGACATCATACGAAAAAAAAAATAATTGACTAAATACATGATTTTGGTCCACAATACAAATAATGTAGTCAATTTCTTCTTCTTTATCATTTTCCTTCTTGCTAGACTTAAACAAGTTATAACTTTCACAAAAATAACAAAGAAAAAATCAATATTTGGGATATCACAAACAAAGCCAAAAAATTACAATTTCCAAATTGTAGGTGCAAACTTGTTCGCAGCAGTACGTGAAAGCAAAATTTTCTAGCAGCAAAAGGGGGGAATTCAATTAAGTGTTAAACTTTAAGCCATCCACTAATTTGAATTTCATAGGTATATTTCATAGTATCATGTATTCAATCCTCTTTGTCTTTGTTTACCGCTCAGTTTTTATCACATAGTAAGACATCTAAAATACCAAGAATTGCAAAAATAGAGTACTAGTTTGAGTCTCCAAAATGTAATTCTATTTGTACATATTATTATATGGGTAAATTAAATCAAAATAACATTATAGCGAAAGGATATGACTGCAGAAAATACCCTCTACCTTACCAAAATTAGGAGAGGGGGGAGAGAGAGAGAGGGCTGTTGATTATACCCTCTAGGTCAAATATTTATAGTTCAATTGTTAGAAGCAAGCCAAAAGGTGAATTTAGGAAATCAAGCTGCTGCTAAAAGAAACAAGGTTTTTAGCTAATTAAAACAAGATGGTTAAACCTTACACACAAGCATTATCAAAGTTTGTCTCTCCTTGTCCTGTAATTGTGGTGATTTTATTACTGTCTTCGACATGGGATAAGGGTACAAATTTCTCAACAAGGACATTACCATTCCAATCAATTTTGTACGAAACATCCAGACCTTCCAGAATAAGATGATACACAATGTCACCACAAGGAAGAGAAACTTGTTCCCTTTCATTTTCAGAACCTTCTTGATCTTGGTAAACATCCAAATCTGAAGCATTACCTAGTCCACCATCGTTCTTATTAGAAATTGCTAAATACATAGTCCACCATTTTCTGGAATAATTTTATAGTCTTAAGAGTCTATTATTATAAAAAAAAAAACCATAAATTATAGAAATCTAGCAAACCACGCTTCTGTTAGACATTTTCTCAAACACCTTCAAAGTAAGATCCAAATCACCACAACCCAATTACAAACAGGCACTGCTGCAACAATAAATGAAAACACTTACATATGTTTATAGATATATTCAACAATCTATGTGATAAAGCGAACAATATAGAGACGAAGTAAACAAAGTATGTGCTTGTAAATCAAATTCACATCTCCAAAACCCTAGAAAAAAATGAAAAAATTTGTATCGGTGCAGGAGATTAGTTTCGTAGGTGGTGTTGAAACCTTGAAAATAAAGATCAATAGTGAAAAGAGAATGAGAAATTACCAGAGATTTGTTGCAAAGGTCAAATTTTATCTGGTAAAGGCTTCAAGCCAAACATCTTCTCCTAGGAAAACATTCCCTAAGACAAGAGCCTCCCTTACTGTGGATGTACCCTTAGTCCCTCGGCTAAGGCAAACCACTCATATTGTTGTTTTTATGCTACATCGTACACACGCATGCACATACCTGCATACATACGCATTCACTGGGTCGTATCCAGGTTGTTCTATAGTCGAGTCCAATTGATTTCAAGCACCATCAGCTTGGTGTCATCTGCGGGAATGATTTTCTTGGTTTCCTCTTAACTTTTCTTCAAACACTTGTTAGTTTGATGGTTCCTACTAGAAATTTGAGTAAGTCTCATGTGAACCCGCAAACCCTGTAAAACCAGTCGGGAAACCTCCCAACCCCAACGATAAATATTGAGAATGACCCTCCAACAGCGAACCCAACTCCTATCAATGAGTTGGAGACATACCGCCGGACCACAATGCAAATGGTAAAGCAAAACTAGGACCTTGTAGCATGGATCTAGGCACATCACCTCCCTTAGGCCCCCGTTCGCGCCTCTTGCGTTGCCTCCACAACCAGCTCAAAATGACCATTCTCTTTAGGATCCTCAAAATCTGCCACCCAATAAAGTCATGGACCTTCATGACCATAGCCACTCAGGAGATAACCATCGTCGATGATAGCCAGAGGAAAGTACTAATAATGATGCTCACAGCCGCGCTAGAGTCGTTCCAAGAGAGAAGTCTTCCATTTCCCCAGCAAGACACCATAGACTAATTCTAGGGGTGAAGGTTTCAAGAAATCCAGCAAGAATTGGGAAATAGCAAAGAGTTTATGAAAGGGAAAACTCCTATTACCATGGACGCTTTGGTCCAACAAACTGAATCTTCATTTGCTACGAAAATCTTACACTTGTCTCTGCACTAGAAGTTCAAGATGCCGCAAATAGAGGCGTTTGACAGGACTAAAGACCCCGTAAAACACCTCAACTCATACAAAAACTAAATGGAACTTCATGGGTATCCTGATCCTATCTGTTGTCGGCTTTCGCTATAACCCTCAAAGGGTCAGCAATAACATAGTTTAACAAACTACAACAAGCATAAATTTCCTCTTTCCAAGAATTCTCCATACAGTTTGTGTGCCACTTTATCGAGGCACGAACTTACTGGAAACCATCGTACCATCTTTTGAGCATCAAACAAGGACCTAACGAATCACTCAGAAACTATGTTTAGAGGTTCAACCAAGAGTCCCTAAAGGTTGAGAATTTAGATGACAAGTTCGCCTTGACCACCTTTATGTCCGGACTTGGCCTCCAATCCAAAAATTTATTGTTCTCAAAATAAAAAAAAAATTAAAAATTAAAAATATTGTTCTCAATCACTAAGAACCCACAGACAACAATGGCCGAAGTCTTCGCCAATGCCGAAAAGTACATAAATAGGGAGGAGGCACTCCACATGAAAGGGAGTGCATCGACATCAAATGAGGGCAAGAAAAAAAAGAGGGACGCAGTCTGAGAAAAGATAAAAGGCATGATCGATCCCCGAGGAAGGAAAGATAACTATCCCCTAAAAGAAGGGAAAACGTCAAGGACCGCCTCGAACCACCACCTCAAGAGCTTCAACCACGGTATGTACCAGGCCGACTCACCCCCCCTAATGCCACCATCTCTCAGGTCCTCCACGAGGTCCAAAATTAGAGGTTCATTAGATGGCCACCGAGGATGAAGTCGGACCCTTGAAGATGCTATCCCACCAAGTACTGCAACTTTCACAAAGACAATGGCTACAATACCAATGATTGCATCTAGCTGAAGAAAGGGATAGAATAACTTGTCCAACGAGGCCACCTGAGGCATTATGAAGCTAGGGTGGGAAGAGATCGGAATGGGCAAGATTAAAATGGCCGAGCTACAGATCCACCCTAGCAGTGATACCAGCGGGCCAAGGAGAAATAAGGTTCATTTCAGGAGGCTTTGTCGGAGGAGGGGTGTCAATCTCGACAAGGAGAGCCAATGCTAGGAGGGCAAGGTCAGATGATTTCCTCGACGTCCAAGCGATCCGAAAAGCCCCACGCCGAGATCCTGAAATTACCTTTTCAGACACCGACCTAGAGGGGTGTCAGCTCCCCCCATGACGATCCCCTGGTAGTGAAGGCCATAATCGCTAACAAAACAGTGCATTATGTCCTCATTGACAATGGCAGCTCAGTTGACATCATTTTTCTCTCTAAATTTGATTAACTTAGAATAGACAAGTCTAAGCTCAAACTCGTAAGAACCCATCTATTAGGCCTCTAGGAAGAAAGAGTCATGCCTTTGGGATCAATCCAGCTCATTCTCACATTAGGAGACCACTCTTGCCAGATCACCACCTCGATTCGATTCCATGTGGTAGATGCACCTTCTATGTATAACGTTCTGCTCAGCAGACTCCATCAAAGCCATTCCTGTAGCATACCACTTGGTCATGAAGTTCCCCACTGAAAACGGAGTTGGGGTGGTGAGAGAGGACCAGCGTGTTGCTAGAAAATTCTATGTTGCATCATTTAGGCAATGGGAGGTGGAATTTGTTTAGCTAGATAACCTAGATATGAGAGACGAGAACGAAACCTGACCTATACCCTTGAAGAAGCTAGAGCCAGCACAGATTGACGAAGACCCCGAGCATGTGGTCTTTGTAGGCTCAGTACTTCTCCAAGACATCAAAGAACAATTGATTCTTTTTCTAAAGGAAAATGCAGATGCTTTCACTTGGAAAAGAAGAGGATATGGAGGGGATCGACCCCAAAGTTATAGTTCACAGGCCAAGCATGGACCTAAACTACAAGCTCGTCAAACAGAAAATGAGAAGTTTCGCCCCGAAAAGGTAGAAAGCTATCAACAAGGAGGTGGCTAAACTATTACCACCCAAAGCCATTAGGGAAGTCGACTACCTGACATGGTTGGCCAACATAGTGTTAGTCAATAAGGTTAATGAAAAATAGCGTATGTGCATCGACTTTACAGATCTGAACTATGTCTGCCCAAAGACAGCTTTTCGTTGCCCCGAATCAATCTCATAGTCGACGCAGCGGCAGGGCACAAACTCCTTAGTTTCATGGATGTCTTCTCATGCTATAACCAAATTAGAATGGACTCCAACGATCATGATAAGACCTCCTTCGTCATAGAGTAAGGAACCTTTTGCTATAAGGTACTGCCTTTCAGATTGAAAAACATCGGGGCCATTTACCTAAGGCTAGTCAACTGCACGTTTCAAGAGAAGCTCAAACATGTTGGTCAAGTCTCTTAAAGTCAAGGTCTACATCCAACACCTCCGAGAATCTTTCGACATCATGTGACAGTACAGGAAGAAGCTAAATCCAGCTAAGTGTGTCTTTGGTGTGTCAATTAGGAAATTCTTGGGGTTCATCGTGAATAGCCGAGGAATCGAGGCTAACCCAAAAAAAGTACAAGTTGTTATCAAGATTAAGGCACCCACCAGCATCAAGGAAGTTGAACGTCTCACCGGGAGGATAGCAGCGCTTAATCGGTTTGTTTCACGCTCTAGCGATAAATGCCAGTTATTCTTCAAAGTTTTAAAAGTTATTTTCCAATGGAACGAGATATGTGAAGACACTTTCCAAGCCCTGAAAGCTTGTCTGGCTTCACCCCTGGTGCTGGTCAGCCCAAAAGAATGAGAGGTCCTGACCATATACCTTGCAATATCCGAATTTTTTGTCACTACTACCTTAGTAAAAGATAATGAAAAGATACAACAACCTGTTTATTTCTGTAGCAAAGCCCTTAGAGGAGTCGAATAGAGATATCCTAGGATGGAGAAGATCATCCTGGCTCTCCTCGTTGCTGCCAGGAGACTGAGGGCTTATTTTCTAGGCTCCTACCACTGAAATCTCGACCAACCAACCCATGAGGCAACTCCTGCACAAACCAAATGATTAGTTAAATGGGCAGTAGAACTCAGTGAATTTGATATCAAGTTCAAACTGTGAATTTCCATTAAGGGCCAAGTACTCGTCTACTTCATTGCAAAGTTCACCCCCTAGATTGAAGACCAACCTAAAAATTATGATCCAGCCGTAGATGTCCCAACGTAGAAACTGTACGTGGATGGCACCTTAAATGCAAAAAAGAAGCAAAGCTAGCCTCATCTTAACATCTCTTGAAGGTTACATTATCGAGTACGCACTGAGATTCAACTTCTAAGCCTCCAACAACAAAGCCGAGTATGAAGCCCTCATAGCCGGGCTTAACTTGGCCTTATCGGTGGAAGCACAATAGATCATTATCTATAATGATTCTTAATTGGTGGTAAGGCAGGTGGAGGAAAAATATGTGGCCTGGGGAAACAAGATGGATTTGTACGTGAGGAAGGTTTAGGGTTTGCTTAAAAAATTTGTGCATACCGAGCTTATCCAGATTCCCTGAGAGGCAAACAGCTGAGCTAACACACTTGCAAAGTTGGCCACAGCAACCCAACAGGACTTGCCTAGGACAACACCTATGGAATTTCTACTTGAGCCTAACGTCCAACTCGATGAAGATCAAGTTATGCCAGTTGAGGATAACACATCCTGGATGGACCCTATCATCACCTTTCTGTAGAACGGGGATCTTCCACGCGATCGAAAAGAAACAGTTAAACTAAAGAGAAAAGTGGCAAAATTTACCATGGTACAAGGTAAAATCTAAAAATGCAGTTTTTCATTTCCCCTACTAAAATGTGCCACTGAGCTTGAAGTAGATTATGTTTTGAGAGAGATACATGATGGCTTATGTGGGAACCATATTAGAGCATAGGGCTTCGCCAATAAGACATTCCAACAAGGGTACTTTTAGCCCATAATGGTGAAGGATTTGAAAGAGATAGTGAAGAAATGCAAGCATGTTAGATCCATGAAAATTTGTCGTACTACCCACCAGAGTAAACCACGCCGGTGGTCAGTCTGTGGCCCCTCCAACAGTGGGGTCTACACATATTGAGACCCCTCCCAATTGGCATCGGGCAATGCAAATTCGCTATATTTACCATAAATCATTTCACTAAATGGGTAAAAGCGGAGGCACTGGCGAAGATAACCGAGTAGAGGGTAAGGGACTTTGTTTAGAAGTCGATAATCTACAGGTTCGATGTCCCAAGGGCAATCTTCTCTAATAACAAAAAATAGTTCAACAACCCTAGGTTCACAAGGTTTTTGCGTAGATCTTGGCATCAAGAATTATTTCTTAGCATTTGCATACCCGTAGTTAAAAAGACAAGCCNGGTTCGATGTCCCAAGGGCAATCTTCTCTAATAACAAAAAATAGTTCAACAACCCTAGGTTCACAAGGTTTTTGCGTAGAGCTTGGCATCAAGAATTATTTCTTAGCATTTGCATACCCGTAGTTAAAAAGACAAGCCGAGGTCACCATTCGAACCATTAAAATGGCTTTGAAAACAAGATTAGAAGCCTCCAAGGCCTAGTGGATCAACCACCTCCCAACCGTGTTATGGGCTTATAGAATGACAATGCGCACAACCACGAATGAAACTTCTTTTAGCCTCACCTATGGAACTGAAACAATGGGTCCCGTCAAGGTTGGGCTTCCCTTAGCCAAGGCTATGCTCTTTGGCATATAGCTGAATGACCAGTCCCTACTCATCAACCTTGATCTCCTTGAAGAGAAAAGTGATGAGGCACTGTAACACATTTTCTCCTACAAAGGAAACACTGCACAATATTACAATCGAACGGTCAAGAGAAGAACTTTCAAGCTAGATGTCTTGGTCCTCAAAAAGCTACTCCCAACAAGAAAAGACCCGACACTCGGGAAGCTCGGTCCAAATTGGGAAGGACCATACATAGTAAAAAAGGTGGTCTGACTACACAACTATGAGTTGTAGATCGAGGAAAGAAAATACCTATAGTATTCCTGGAACACGAATCCCCTGAAACGATATTATCAGTAGGATCAAGGTGTCATGAGTAGTTGTGAAATCTGAAACACAGAGAGCAACTATTAAAATTCAATTTTCAATTAATGAAATTTGATATTCTTGCCAGCACAATCTCAAAGGCGCGAGCTCTTCAGCTACGTGATCTCGATTAGGCTTTTTAACCTAAGGGCTTTTCAACACTGTTAATTTAAGGCTATTTAACCCTCAAAGATTTCTTCAACTCTCAAAGGCGCAAGCTCTTCAGTTGCACGACCTCAACTAGGCTTTTCAACCTAAGGACTTTTCAGCTCCGTTAAACAAAGGCCCTTCAGTCTTCAAAGAGTTCTTTAACTCTCAAAAGTGCGAGCTCTTTAGCCGCGCGACCCTCGGCTAGGCTTTTCAGCTTAAGGGCTTTTTAGCTCAGTTAAACAAAGACTCTTCATCCTTCAAAGAGTTCTTCAAATCTCAAAGGTGCGAGATCTTTAGCTCTGCAACCTCAACTAGGCTTTTCAGTCTAAGAGTTGTTCAGCTTGATTAAACCAAGGCTCTTTAGCTTTCAAACAGTTCTTCAATTCTCAAAGGCACGAGCTCTTCAATCTCGTGACCATGGTTTGGAAAATCGGCCGTTACTGTGTGTAACGGCTATTACGTAACAGTAACAGAGGCGGACGATACCGTTACACCCCGATTTATTGGTCAAAAAAATATCCACACCCGTAACGGGCCTTACACCGACGTAACGGGCGTTATAACCCATTATGTTGCCGTAACGACCATTACACAACAACATCTGTTAATTTTGCTACCAAAAAAATAAGAAAATCAAGAATAATATATGAAAGGAGAAGAGTAGAAATTAAGACAAGAAGGTGGCTAGGTCTAGTATCTCTTCAATGATCGGCTTCTAAACTCTGCTGCGTGGCTACTTTGGGTGGAGTTTCCATGTTCACAACGCTTAGTCTACAGGGGAAAGAGAAACAGAGCACTTCTCTGTTTAGATTAGAAGAACGATGGAGAAGAGGCTGGAGGTAACAAGATTATATTAGGGTTTTTTATTGTGGGTGAAAAGACAAAACTGGCCCTTCTTGTAAGAATAGGAGATTAAGAAATTTTTTACATGGCCCAATAGAATAACAGATTTTTTGTTTTATATTCTGATAATATTTTCCAGGAATCAAAAAAAGATTTTTGATAAAATCTCAATTGGCTATTGTTTTTAAATTCTCACAGAAATATTTAAGTGGGTTCCCTTCAATTAAAAGTCACTAGAAAACTCTTATCACGTAATTATTAAAAGATAAATTCATATAACATTGTTTATAATACAATAAAATGTATAACATATCACAAAAGGCCTATATTTACATAAGCTTAGAGTTAAAAATACAAAATTTGTTTTTTTTAAGAGAGTTTTGAACGAAAACAAAAATTTCACACTCCCGATTTTCGTTACTATTATGTAACGTCTGTTTCGTCCCGCATCCGTTACTCTGTTACCGTTATCGTTATGACGACCGTTACCGTTATTCAGAACTATGCTCGTGACCTCAACTAGACTTTTCTGCCTAATAGATTTTTAGCTAGGTCAGGCAAAGGCTTTTTAGCCTTCAGAGAGTTCTTCAACTCTCAAAGGCAAGAATTCGTCATACGCGCGTAACCTCAATTTGGTTTTTCAACCGGAAAGCTTTCCAACTTAGCCACAGGCACTTCAATTACCAAAACTTCAACAAGAAAGTCCACAGGGTCAAAAAAATAATAATAAATAACACAAAAAAAGGCCTATGGAACAAAAGGACCATGTGGCATTAAAGATGCACAAGAAAGTTGAGTACAAGACAAAACAAAATATTCAAGATCCTGCATTCCTTCCCTTCTGCACCATGATCTCCCTCTCTAGCTGAGCATTCTCCTCTTTCAACCGAGCATTCTCCGTTTTCAGCTCATCCGTTTCCTTCTTAGCCTTAAAAAGTTACCTCCTCAACATGGTCAACCCAAACACCATCTCCAGCTCAGGAACCATAAATCTCCTCTCGTTAGACGAGGGCTCTAAGGGATGAGTTGAGGAAAACCTGGAATCTCATCCTCTTCCTTGACAAAGTGGTAGTGTCTTTTGTAAAACCCATAAGAGAAGCATCCTCATTAATAGCAAGAGGAGGGACAATAGGGATAACAGTTGTGACGGCAGCTGGGATGACAACCGGATTGGGGCCATGCCCAAACCTAAAGAGGTTCTGAGTAGGGATCAATGTGGAAAAATGGAACTGCCTAAGCTTGGCTAAGATGGCACACCCTTGCAATCTGATCAGGAGTCAGCCTAGGATCACCTGCATTAACATGAAAACCATTAGCTTCAAGAAAAAAGGTGTAGGACAAGGGTGTCTTGCCCACTTCAAAAGGAAAACTATCTCCTTATGTTTTTCTAGAATGCACTCCAAAAGTGAGGAATTTAGAGATGGTTTGTATGTGCCTTGCTAGATTCTTAGGTGCTCCTGAAATGAGCACCCCTCAGGAGAGCCAGGAGCGTTGAGGACTAACATGGGCACTTGGAACCTCCATGTGAATTGATAATAGAATGGAAAAAGTCATCATCAAAGCGAAAGAAATAAAGAAACTCAAAAACATAAGGGAAATTGTCATGGTCATGCATGTGCCAAAAAATGAAGACACTCATGAGGGTGCCCCACCCCTCTAGTGAATGTCGTGAAGGGTAGAGCCCAAAAAAGGCTAGAATCTACCCAATCAACAGATAAATGGGCAGATGAAGCCCCATCTCAAACGCACCTTCAAAAAAACAAACATTCCTCTAAAGAAGAAGGTTGCAAGGCTCGTCGAAAGTAGGGCTCCGAATGGCCACACCTACAGGAAAATGATATCGCCTCCTAATTTCCTCTCCCTCAGCCATTGTCACAATGCTGGGAAATAGGGAAATGACATATTGAGGGTCATCAATAAGAATAGAAGTATGTTATTTGAATAGAGAAAAAGAAGAGGAATCCATGAAGAAGCAAGACGAATACTAGCTAAGGAAAACACCAGGAAAAGATATGCGTATAAAGGTGAAAGACATTTTAAACAATGAAGTGACCAAATTATGGAGGCAAAAGGGCGATAATTAGGCTTCTTTAATGAAATGGCTTTATGATAAGAGTTAATGCAAGGTGCTCAAGGTAGAGTTAGGTGGGCGCATAAGTAGGCACGTTAAAACCCCATTTTCGTCCCAAAATCGTACATGTTGGGCGCCCCCTATCAAGTTGAAATCATCAATAGCTCGTATACTTCAGCTTAGTGAATGGCGAGCTAGAGGCAAGGGCAATAGAAATTTTCACTTAATCAAGTGTGAAGTGCTCGGCCCTATAGCTAAGATATCCAACAGCTCGTACCCTCCAGCTTAGATACCTACCAACTTAGTCAAGTTTGGGAAAGACGAAGAGCTTGATCATCTAGCTTAGATACCTAACAGCTTGTACCCTCCAGCTTAGTAAATAGCAAGTTGAAGGCAGAGGGCAAGGAAAATTTGCACTTAGTGAAGTTTGAGAAGGATACATAGCTTAGGACGATGAGCTCGAGAAGTCTAATCTGAAACAAAGAGTAGGATAAAGTTTGGGGACTTAACTCACAAACTCGGCACAACCAACGAAAATCATACTCCAACCAGGTCAAGACCTACTTGGAGTAGGGGCAAGGAAGATATGGAAGAGATATTTACATGCGAAAGAGGCTAAAATAGGTTTTCATTCCATTTCAAACAAAAACAACAACAACAACAAAGGAAGAGATATTTACATATGTTTCACATTCACATAAATTTCAAAAAAAAAAGGAGAGAAAAGAAAGAGAGGAAGAGCATTCAAAAGCAAAGGTTCTCAAGGCTTCAAGGTAGTCGAATTAGCATCACCACCACCAGAGGAGCCTTCGGGCTAAAAGGTCATCCTTTGACCAGGGGCAACTGATGATGATGGATTTAAGTCTGGACCCACTCAAGAGCCCAAAACCCTCTAAGCTCACAGAAGGATACCCAAGCATCTAATCTAGATAGAATTCATTGGGCTCGAATTGCACCACAACCCAGTTTCATTGAAGCTCGAAACAAACGAGCTCGAAATAGGTGCTAACTCAACACCGATAATCCCAGTATAGGTACCAGCTTGGGGAATGGGAGCACAACACCAATCTAGTTAGCAAGAGCTGTACCACGACACATGAATAGGAGACAAGGGGATAATATCTGACAATCCTGATGAACGAAAACCCACCAGTAATGGAGATGGGTCATGTATTCCAATAGGTGAATAGTGGGTACAGAAAAACATTAGGGATTATAATTCCAGTAACAAGACAAACATAGAGAGGACTACATAATCAACAAAAAGAGATCAACACGACAATCCCTAACAGCCAGATGTATAAATAGCTAACGATACTACACATAGATATATAGAGAAAATTACCTAGTAGTGACCTAGGCAATACTCTGTAAAAGGCTTCAAGTCAAACATCTTGTAACCATAATCTTTTTCCCCAAGGAATACATTCCCTAAGGAGTAAGGGCCTCTCTTAATGTGGATGTACCCTTAGTTCCTCGACTAAGACGAACTACTTATATTATTGTTTCCATCCTGCATCATACATGCACACGCATATACACCTGCATACATACGCATTCGCTAGGCCATATCCTAGGTTATTCTGCAGTTGAGTTCAGATGATTTCGAGCACCATCAGAAGCAAATTCCAAAATGATTACCACTAATTCGAAAAGAAAACTGAAATAAACCCTAAGGCAAAAGGATCGAACAATCATACAGAATTACCTACCAAAACTAGAATCAATCGATCCTAGTACCAAAAATACAAACTGCGGCTAAAAAAATTAAAGCCTTTAAAATCTACACCATCGGTGGCCAAATTAAATTATCATCACTTATCAATACCATTAAGTGGCAACAGGTAATTCTTGCCACTAAATATCTTACTCTACGAGTGTAAAAATTTGGTGTCAAGGAATTAGTGACAAATTAATAGTACATTTTAGTTGCAATGTTTAAATTTCCACTGTTCAGATCTAGTTTTATACTTTAAGCGGTGACAATAGTATTTTAACACAAAAAATATATTTTTANATGTCTTTTGTAAAACCCATAAGAGAAGCATCCTCATTAATAGCAAGAGGAGGGACAATAGGGATAACAGTTGGGACGGCAGCTAGGATGACAACCGGATTGGGGCCATGCCCAAACCTAAAGAGGTTCTGAGTAGGGATCAATGTGGAAAAATGGAACTGCCTAAGCTTGGCTAAGATGGCACACCCTTGCAATCTGATCAGGAGTCAGCCTAGGATCACCTGCATTAACATGAAAACCATTAGCTTCAAGAAAAAAGGTGTAGGACAAGGGTGTCTTGCCCACTTCAAAAGGAAAACTATCTCCTTATGTTTTTCTAGAATGCACTCCAAAAGTGAGGAATTTAGAGATGGTTTGTACGTGCCTTGCTAGATTCTTAGGTGCTCTTGAAATGAGCACCCCTCAGGAGAGCCAGGAGCGTTGAGGACTAACATGGGCACTTGGAACCTCCATGTGAATTGATAATAGAATGGAAAAAGTCATCATCAAAGCGAAAGAAATAAAGAAACTCAAAAACATAAGGGAAATTGTCATGGTCATGCATGTGCCAAAAAATGAAGACACTCATGAGGGTGCCCCACCCCTCTAGTGAATGTCGTGAAGGGTAGAGCCCAAAAAAGGCTAGAATCTACCCAATCAACAGATAAATGGGCAGATGAAGCCCCATCTCAAACGCACCTTCAAAAAAACAAACATTCCTCTAAAGAAGAAGGTTGCAAGGCTCGTCGAAAGTAGGGCTCCGAATGGCCACACCTACAGGAAAATGATATCGCCTCCTAATTTCCTCTCCCTCAGCCATTGTCACAATGCTGGGAAATAGGGAAATGACATATTGAGGGTCATCAATAAGAATAGAAGTATGTTATTTGAATAGAGAAAAAGAAGAGGAATCCATGAAGAAGCAAGACGAATACTAGCTAAGGAAAACACCAGGAAAAGATATGCGTATAAAGGTGAAAGACATTTTAAACAATGAAGTGACCAAATTATGGAGGCAAAAGGGCGATAATTAGGCTTCTTTAATGAAATGGCTTTATGATAAGAGTTAATGCAAGGTGCTCAAGGTAGAGTTAGGTGGGCGCATAAGTAGGCACGTTAAAACCCCATTTTCGTCCCAAAATCGTACATGTTGGGCGCCCCCTATCAAGTTGAAATCATCAATAGCTCGTATACTTCAGCTTAGTGAATGGCGAGCTAGAGGCAAGGGCAATAGAAATTTTCACTTAATCAAGTGTGAAGTGCTCGGCCCTATAGCTAAGATATCCAACAGCTCGTACCCTCCAGCTTAGATACCTACCAACTTAGTCAAGTTTGGGAAAGACGAAGAGCTTGATCATCTAGCTTAGATACCTAACAGCTTGTACCCTCCAGCTTAGTAAATAGCAAGTTGAAGGCAGAGGGCAAGGAAAATTTGCACTTAGTGAAGTTTGAGAAGGATACATAGCTTAGGACGATGAGCTCGAGAAGTCTAATCTGAAACAAAGAGTAGGATAAAGTTTGGGGACTTAACTCACAAACTCGGCACAACCAACGAAAATCATACTCCAACCAGGTCAAGACCTACTTGGAGTAGGGGCAAGGAAGATATGGAAGAGATATTTACATGCGAAAGAGGCTAAAATAGGTTTTCATTCCATTTCAAACAAAAACAACAACAACAACAAAGGAAGAGATATTTACATATGTTTCACATTCACATAAATTTCAAAAAAAAAAGGAGAGAAAAGAAAGAGAGGAAGAGCATTCAAAAGCAAAGGTTCTCAAGGCTTCAAGGTAGTCGAATTAGCATCACCACCACCAGAGGAGCCTTCGGGCTAAAAGGTCNTAGCTAAGGAAAACACCAGGAAAAGATATGCGTATAAAGGTGAAAGACATTTTAAACAATGAAGTGACCAAATTATGGAGGCAAAAGGGCGATAATTAGGCTTCTTTAATGAAATGGCTTTATGATAAGNCAGCTAAGGAAAACACCAGGAAAAGATATGCGTATAAAGGTGAAAGACATTTTAAACAATGAAGTGACCAACTTATGGAGGCAAAAGGGCGATAATTAGGCTTCTTTAATGAAATGGCTTTATGATAAGAGTTAATGCAAGGTGCTCAAGGTAGAGTTAGGTGGGCGCATAAGTAGGCACGTTAAAACCCCATTTTCGTCCCAAAATCGTACATGTTGGGCGCCCCCTATCAAGTTGAAATCATCAATAGCTCGTATACTTCAGCTTAGT